TTTTAACCATCCACTAAATAATAAGAATAGTAAATGTCCCTCTTCCCTCCCCAATGCAGGAAGCCTGCTGGACTTTTTGAAAAGTGGAGAAGGCAGCAAGCAGCCCTTGCCAAAACTCATCGACTTCTCAGCCCAGGTAAGAGCCTCATGGTGAGGCTGTGAGGAAAGGGACAGGAATACAGTTATTGATTCAATAAGTAGTTATTGAACACATACTGTGTTCAGAGCGTGAACAAAACGCAATGGTTAGCAACTGTGGTGGCGCGCCCCTGTAATCCCAGTGGCTCAGGAGGCTGGGGCAGGAGGATCTCAAATTCAAAGCCAGCCTCAACAACTTTGTAAGGCCCTAAGCAACTCAGTGAGACCCTGCCTTTAAATAAAATATATTTTTTAAAAGGCTGGAGATTTGGCTCAGTGCTTAAGCACCCCTGAGTTCAATCCCTGATACAAAAAAAAAAAAAAAGTAATAGTTATTAACTGCCCAGTATAAAAAAAAAATCCACCTTCAGGGGCTGGGGTTGTGGCTCAGTGGTAGAGTGCTCACCTCGCATGTGGAAGGCACTGGGTTCGACCCTCAGCACCACATAAAAATAAATAAACAAAATAAAAGTATGTGTGCATCTTCCCCAGCCTGGGTGTTTGTCCCTTCTACCTTGTCCCATGGTCTTTGCTATCTGTGGGAAAACCAGGAGGACAAGGGGCTGGGGGATTGCACAGCCAAGCAGTCAGCCTGGTCCAGGAGCAATCAGAGAGGGCTTCCCAGAGGAAGCAGCCTCGAGGCTGTTGTGAAAGACAAGTTCTACTGAGGCAGAGGAAGGGCAGGGTGTTCTAGACAAAGGAAACAAACGCCCAAAGGGGAAACAAAGAAGCAGCTGGACCTGGGGCTGGGCTTTCTGGAGACTTTCCAGGGCAGAACTCATTTGCATATGCAAATATCAAGGACCCCAAGTGCACTGACAAGGTCTAACAAAAGGCTTTGTTTTCAGAACCTGGAAACCAAGGGTATATGGAAATCGAGGCCTGGTATTTTCACTGAGATGCCCTTAACATCTGGGAAACAACAGATGGTCTGTTGCTAAATTATAACCATCAAGTAGCAGAAACCTTGCTGGGTAGGGCACAGACTGACAAAAGCTACTCTCCCTGTTTCACAGATGGGAAAACAAAGCAAAGTGAGGAAAGAGGTTCTAGGCCTCAGTACTTCCAGAAGTAGAGGTGACTCTGAGCCCAGGGACAGGAAAGAGCCTTCCTGGGGACCTGGTTTTTACCTCCAGGCCTAGAGAAGCAGATGCTGCAGCAGGAGGGTGCCCAGTCCCATTACAACTGGCTGTTGAACTAGAAACCACTCTGGGTCTCAGTTTTTCCTTTGTCCAATAAGGGAATTGGACCACAACGGTGGTTGCCAAGTTTGACAACATTGTTTAGCCACAGCTCTGTTAGTGGAATGAAGTTTTTGTTTGGTTTGGTTTGGTACCAGGGATGGAACCCAGGGGCACTTTACCGCTGAACCACATCCCCAGCCCTTTTAAATTTTTTCTTTAGAGACAGGGTCTTGCTAAATTGCTTAGGACCTCACTAAGTTCCTGAGGTTGGCTCTAAATCTGTGATCCTCCTGCCTCAGCTTCCTGAGTGGCTGGGATTACATGTGTGCGCCACTGCACCCAGCGTAGTCAAATGAAGTTCCATACAGTAGTTAAATATATAAAATTATAAGGCAAAAAAGCTGCTCTGGTGGAAGCAAGCAGGGAGGAGCCTCATACATGGCCCTTCTTTCCTCCCCTGATGCCCAGACAACCTGGAGGTATCCGTAGGATTCAGCTTGACGAGCCCCAGGCTAGCATATCCTTTCCAATTGGTCCAGCTCCAATTCCGTGACTCCCTGATGCTCTTGGAAGCAAACCCAAGTTCCAGTGCCTCGAAGAAATGATCTGTAAGCAAATGGGCTTAGGGTTTTGCATTGATCACCTTGATCCCATCTCTGCCTGTGCAGCTTTGAGCAAGGTGCTTAACCTCTCTGAGAACTGGGAGCATGAATAGCCATGGTCAAAGAGAATAGTCTGGCAGACCCGATCCTAAGCCCTTGAATGTAGGCTTAGAGAATTAACCTTCACATGACCTCCTGGAGGCAGGTACTGTTATTGTCTCCCTTTATAGAAAAGTGAGGCAGAAGCATGAAGTGATGTCAGCCAGTGGGTACTAAAAAATGGAGACTACCAGCCTTTTGACTGCACCATAGAAAGTACTAGACCAAAAGGTCAGGTGGAGTCAATGAGGAGGACTCTGAGCCCGCCTAATACCTGCCATTAGCCTAATAACTCTTGCTGATGGTTCGTCCTCTTAGAAATTCCCCCACTCCCCATTCCCCACACCTCCCACTCCAAAGAAAATCAGAAACCCTCAAGTTTTTGTTCCCAAATCCAGACCTCAGTTCCCGCTGCCTCGGGTGCCCCCTGCTGTCCATGTCGTGCAGGTGCACCACCCGCTCACCTCAGCCCTTGAGCCCTTGGCCTGGCCTTGGTCTGTCTGGTCAAACCCCTCGCCCTCTACCTTCCCAAAGGGCCTCATCCAATTGTGCTCATGCAGCCCTCCAGAGCTCCGGCTTTCTAGGGTTATTTAGAGGCAGTGTATTTTAGGGGCAGTAGATTAGGATTCTTTAACCTGGGTTTGAGGCTGACATTCAGTATTTTCCTGCTGGGTGTCCCTTCTGTAAAACAGGGATCATGGTGATTCCCAGCTTTAAGGGACCAGAGGCCAGTTTGTAAATTGTGTTATTTCCTGGGTATCTGAGGATTAATCTTAAGCATTTTCTATCCAAACTCTTAGAGGAAAAATGTCTTTAAGACACAAACGTGTGTCTATCAGAGGCTTCCTGGGCACCTACCGTGAATGCACCCTCCACATGGTCTGTTATTCACTGGGCAGCTACAACAGTCTAAAAATCTGCATCAAGGTGGGTGCGGTGGTGCAGGCCTGTAATCCCAGTGCTCAGGAGGCAAAGGCAGGAGGATGGCAAGTTCAAAGCCAGCTTCAGCAATTTAGTGAGGCCCTGAACAATTTAGCGAGACCCTGTCTCAAAATGAAATTTGAAAGGGCTGGGGATGTGGCTCAGTGGTTAAGTGCCCCTGGGTTCAATCTATCACACACACACACACACACACACACACACACACACACACACAAAATGTGCGTCAAATCATGCAACTATATTGGCCAACTTATATTGTAACATTGTGTGCATGTGCCAATATGTAACAACAGATCCTATCATTATCCACAACTATAATACACCAATTTTAAAAAATGAAAAAAATCACACACACTGCTGCTCAAAGTCTAATATCTCCCTTCGCCATCAGAATAAAATCCAACTTCCTCTCCTGGACTAAAGGCTGTTCGGAACCGGTGGTCTCCCTTTCAACTTCAGTTCTCCCAATCTTCGGCTCATCCTCCCTGGCCTCTGTGCTCTTCCACTGTTCCACAAACACCCAGCTCATCCCTGCCTCCAGGCCTTTGCACCTGGTATTTCTGCCTGGAATATTCTTATTTGACACACTTTTTTTATTGTCATCATTCTGATCTTTGCTAAAAATTCACCTCCTCCAACCAACTTTCCTGACCACCCAACAAGCCCTCAATACTTCCTGTCCTGTGACCCTGTCTTCTCTGTCCCTTCTGGTACTTATCACCATCGTCAGGAGCCCAACTCACCGTCTGGCACCCATAAGACACTCCGTAGATTGTTGTTGAATGAATAAATGAATCTTCTCCTGGAGAAATCATCGCATTGCTTTTTCCTTGAGGACATTTCAAATGCTCTCTGGAAGTTTTGTGATTCTAGAGAAATCCCCCAAATTGAGCAGGCCTTAAGGATCCCCCAGCCTGGGTGGATACGCAGAGAAATGCCAGTCTGAGCCCAGAACCCTTCTGACAAGAGGGGGGTGCTGGCTCAGATGTTCTTCACTTTTCTCCCACTTGGTTAGTCCTTCCCCGCTGCTCTGGTTTAGGGGGGAGAACCTCTTGGGCTGGGCCATATCCAAGGGTGAGAGTGTCTCTATTTTGGATGCAGATTGCAGAAGGCATGGCCTTCATCGAGCAGAGAAACTATATCCATCGGGACCTCCGAGCCGCCAACATCCTGGTCTCTGCATCCCTGGTGTGTAAGATTGCTGACTTTGGCCTGGCACGGATCATCGAGGACAACGAGTACACGGCTCGGGAAGGTAGGGAATGCCACCTGCAGCCCCACGTGCCCTCTCGGATGGGCTATGAGTGCCAAGAGGAGATGCCTGCGAGAGCGACGGCAAGGGGCAAATGTCCATATACCCAATATTACCTCTGTGTTACGAAGCTGGTGAGGTCTTGGACTTGAATCTCTCCCAGTGACTTCGAGAGGGAAATTTCAGAGCAGATTGAGAAGCACTGATCAGTTCTAGACTTAGTGAGGCAAGTGCATGTTGAAGTTCAGGGTTAAGAGCAACTTGATGGCTGGGTATAGTGGTGCATGCCTATAATCCCAGCAGCTTGGGAGGCTGAGGCAAGAGAACTCCTAACTCAAAGCCAGTCCCAGGAACTTAGCAAGGCCCTAAGAAAACATAGAGAGATCCTGTCTCTGGATAAAATATTTAAAAAGGACTGAGGATGTGGCTCAGTGGGAAAGCACCCCTGGGTTCAATCCCTGATACCAAACCAAACCAAACCAAACCAAACAAAAGGCAACTTTATGCACAATAGACAAAAAGGAAGTCTCCCAATGTCCATGAACAGTAGTATGGACACATAAGTTGTGAAATATTCACATAATATAATATAATACCAGGCAGCAATGCAAAGCACATTCCAACACCACGGGCAACCAAATGGATGATTCTTACAGAACGATATGAAATTGAAATAAATCAGATCCCCCAAAAAAGTGTTGATGCTGAATGCTTCTGTCCATACGAAATAAAAAATAAATAAATAAAAAGAAACTCATAATAAAAGTTCATAGCAGCATTATCATAGTTGCCAAAAATGGAAACAGCCTTAATTAATGTTGATCAACTGATTAGCAGATAAACAAAATGTGGCCCGTTCATTCAATGGAATGTTATTTGACCATACAGTGGAATGAAGGATTGAAAGATGCTGCAATATAGATGAACCTTGGAAACAACATATTAAGTGAAAGCCAGGCACACAGATGCATCTCATATGAAATGTCCAGAACAGGTGCAGTCATAAACACAGAAAGTGACTTTGTGGCTGCCTAGGGCTGGGGTGGAGAGTTGGGAAAAAATGAGGAATGAGTACTATGGAATTTCAGGGGAGTGTGATGAAAATATTCTAAAAGTGAATATTCTAAAAGTTATTAAACTGTATATTTTAAATGCATGGATGCTGTGTCTGCGAATTGTATGTCAATAAAGCTGTTAAAGAAATGGTTTAGGAGGCTGAGGCAGGAGGATCATGAGTTCAAAGCCAGCCTCAGCAACTTAGTGAGGCCCTAAGCAACTCAGCAAGATCTTGTTTCTAAATAAAATATAAGAAAGGGCTGGGGATGTGGCTTAGTGGTTAAGCGCCCCTGGGTTCTATCCCAGGTACCAAAAAAAAAAAAAAAAAAAACTGTTAAAGAAAAAAACAGGCAAAATTCATTTCTAGTAACAGAGGTCAGAATAGCGGCTACCTGGAGTAGGGAAGTAGTGATTAGGAAGGAGCAGGGGAGCCTTTTAATGCTTAAAGAGTTCTATACCCTAATCTGATGGTGATTACAAAGGTGTGTATTTATTATATGTATGTATAATAATATTGTTATAGTAATATTTATATATAAGTGAAATGCATTTATGTATAAATATGCATTATATGTAAAAATGCATTTATATACATATAAATGCATCAAGTTGTACCTTAGAGTTTGAACGCTTTAATCTTATGTTTGTTATGACTCAATAAAAATGTTTAAACCAGTCAAGCGTGGTGACACACGCCTGTAATCCCAACAGATCTGGAGGCTGAGGCAAGAGGATGGCCAGTCCAAAGCCAGCCTCAGTAACTTTAGTGAGACCCTGTCTCAAAATTTAAAAAAAAAAAAAAAAAAAAGAATACTGGGGATTATGCTCAGTGGTCAAGCGTGGTGACACACGCCTGTAATCCCAACAGATCTGGAGGCTGAGGCAAGAGGATGGCCAGTCCAAAGCCAGCCTCAGTAACTTTAGTGA